TGCTGGACTTGGGGCTCAGCAAGATACAAGTTGCAAAGGCAGTGGCATGTTTCCCACCACTTCTTGGACTGAGCATTGAGAAGAACCTGCAGCCGAAGTCCGCATTGCTCAGATCGTACTTGCCCTCTCAGGAACTTGTAAAGCTCGTTGCCTCATTTCCTCCGGTCTTTGGCTACAGCTACAGCCGCTTGAGCAAACGGTTGTCCATTCTGGCAGCTCAAAATGACACCTCCAAGCTTGCAGGTGCCCTGACAAAGCCGGCTGACAAATTCGTTGATATGTATGTGCGCCGAGGCGCCCGGGCTTGATCTCCAAAAGGCTGAAAAGGGCGCAGGATGAAGGGGGATGGGGGGGGATGAGCAAACGAAGCACAACGTCTCAAGATCATTGCCCCTCCGCCGCAGCTCTAGAGTTTGCGGAGTATTTCCTGGTTGGGTGTCCTAAAGAAACTGCCAAATAATTGGCATTCATGCGGGAGTAGATCTTCTCTTCCCTTTTGTCATTTTGTTTCTTGCCATCATTGCTTTCCAGGAGTCAAAAGGCACCTGCAAATCTAGCCTGTGCAAGACTTAGACCACAAGACATGTCACCCTACTAAGTTTGTCCGATGTCTTCGATGCAAAGAATGTCCTGGACTTCTACGTCACCATGGGCTACATCGAGGAGCAGTGCGTTCCACTGCAACAACATGAGAAGGGCTAGCAATTCATCCAACAAATCATGTTTGTGTCACCACATTGGGTTGAAAGAAAGTAGGTGTCCGACTTCATGTATGCCTTTTGCCGGGTTTGCCGGGTCTCTATTTTTTTCTAGATCACTCGGTAATCAGAAATCTGGGTTCCTCTGTGACTGATTTCAGAGATCGGACGTAGAACGGATGCCAGGTTGAGGGAAGTCCAAGTTCTGCTTTCCTAGCAGCGGAATGGTGCTGTTGAAAAGAAAAGCGCAGAGGAATTTTGAGGATATCCCACTGTTTGTGTGTTTGCCATGCAATGCTGGAGTTCTTTCATCTGCAGTTTTTGTTGGTTCACTGGTTTTTCATGCACAAGAAAGGCAACCATTTCTTTAAACAACCATTCCGCAGATTCTGCAATTCAGCTGGTCATGATTCACCACGACTCAAACAACTCGAAGTCATTCGACGGCGTGGTGCCGTCGACGGTTTCCTTGGTTTGGGGCTGTGGACCACACACACGCGGTCACGCGCGTGACATAGGAGCAGAATAGGAGAACGAACAAGTTGTGTTTGTACCACCAAGCACCACCAAGGCTTCGGACATCTTCGTCTTTCAAACGTTGTTTTGGGTGTCAAGGGCCCCCTCTAGCGATAGATATGTTTGCAGGTCATCTGGAAGTCCAAAAGGGCGAAGAGAGAGGAGCTTTATGGTTTTCTTCGTGAGAAGACGGATCAAAATGACCTCCCTCAACTCAACAGAAGTTCCGGGGACCTTTTTCTTTTAAAGGTTTTAAAAGAGATTCCGAGCAGTCACCTTTACGTCACTAAGCTGACACTCAATTTGCTAGAGAACAATATTCCCAAAGCCACCCAACCGGTGGTGGGTTGTTTTGTGTGTATCTGTATATATATATATAAGTTCTTTTGTTTCCGTTTGGGTTTCACCCATCGCAACGATCGAAGCAACTGGCTGCCGCCTCGAAGCTCCCTGCAGGAGCGAGCCTTGCTGGAACTCCCACGGCAGGGTGCTGCTCTCAGAGTCGAAGAGTCAGTTGCTGTCGCACATCGGAGCACCAGGTGTGCTGGTTGGGGGAGTGTCGTCCCGGATGAAGATGACTGAAGCATTCCCAACTACAAAGCACCAACCAGTTGTCCAGCACAAGGCATCGAAATCCTAGGGCATAGAGTTGTCCAGTACCCTGCGGAACCTTGGTGAGTAGACTGTCTACTCAGTTGGCCAAAGGATCCATCATGGTGCAGAACAAGATTGAAGAAGAGACAAACAAGATGTTCCCCATTGCCCCAAGACTCCCAAGGCTAAGGCTGGCAAGGGCTTGCACCCCCAAGCCTCCAACACCTTCTGAAACGAGAAGGATTGACGATGCCTGAAAGCCTGGAACACCATGGCAGGACCTCAACCGCGCCGTCCGTTGCACGCTTTGGGGCTCCAGGATTCGTGTCCGAGGCTGCCACATCACGCGGTGCGCTGAACGGCACTTTCCACAGTACCCCTCCTTGTGCTTTCGAACTCGTCTAAGCCATGCGTGAGGCCATCTGCATCCACATTGGTTCTTTGGTCGAAACTAGAGGGTACTGACCTCTTGGGAGGTGACTGGAGAGGGCCATGGGCCATGGGCCTCTCCAGTCTCACATGCTACAGAGTTGCAAACATTGACATTAATTATGATTAGAGAAACAAATCAAGAGCATGGTGGGAACTCATATCCAAGTGGACACACAACTGAATTATTTGAATGACTTTTGTGTGTATTAGTTGGATCTTTGCTGGGCCACTATGTTGGAGTGTGATTTATATTGGTTTGGTTCAGGTTTGGGTTCAGTATCCTTTGTTGTTTCGTGCCGTTTTTTCTTTGGGACTGGGTCGGAATGTTCTGGCTTCATGTGACCTTGCGGTTCTGACTTGGTGTGGGTACATTCCATGAATGCTTGACACATGTGTTTCTGTGTGTGTTCGACAGATTCTCTACCTTTCTTTCAAAGAAGGTATCTTCTTATAGTTCTTTGTTTTGGTGTGTGCTTTTTGCGGTTTTTTTGAAATGGATCAAGTGTTTGGAGGTTTGGAGAATCTGGTCTTTGATGTGCCATCCCTGAAGTCATACAGCGACTTCTTTTTGCAAATACCAAGCGCTGCAATGTTGTTTTCAAGGTAGCAACTACACGTGTTTGCCACGTATACCCTGCTTAGGGAGAGCGTTTGTTGGTGCTTCCAGGTGTTGTGTGTGTGTTCTTATAAGTTATGTGCTTGTGTGTGTGAGTGTTTAATCATAGATGTATGGGTTTGTTCACACTCATCAGTGACAGTCCTGAGTGTGTATTAAAATCGGGAGACCCCCACTTTCGACCCCCTCTGGAAGAAGGAAAATGGACCAAAACCCACTGGTTGGAGACCTTCTTCAAATACACACCCATAATCCCATATTCTGTGGCCATGCTTCTTTCCGAGCTCGTGCGACATGGTCCAGCGTCTTTTCGCTGCTCGAGGTCCATGTTTCGCACTAGGGGATTCCAATTCGTAGCAACTCGTATGGACGAAGTATCATGACTGATCCATAGTCTATGGATTCCGCGCGTTTCTCCGATTCTCCAAGCTACAAAGCAAACCATGAAGCATCATGCCACAAGTCATGCCACATGCCTTTTCAATCCTTTTGCACACTTCAGGTCAGGGCGGTGTCCAGATCGGCAATGCTTGCTGGGAGCTTTTCTGTTTGGAGCATGGCATCCAGCCAGATGGTCAGATGCCCAGCGACAAGACGATTGGTGGAGGCGATGACGCATTCAACACGCTCCTTGGTATACTGTATAAGATCAAGGTATGTGTTCGAATATTTTAGTCGACTTGTATAGAGACTTAGAGAATGAGATGGACATCGTGGTGCATCTCGTTTTGCATCTCGAGTGCTTCATAGATGCTGTTGTTCCCCCTTGTGGCAAAGCCGTGATATTCGGGGTACTGCAAGTTTAGATACAAACCATTTGTTGTCCTTTTCTTTTGATTTGCCCCAACACTTGCACGGATCAAAGCTCAGGTTCTTCTCTGAGACCGGTGCCGGCAAACATGTGCCAAGATGCGTTTCTCGGTCAGCTTGGAACTCTTCTGAATTCGTTTGTTTTGGAGTTGTTCTGTTTGGATAGCTATTGGTTCAACAAGGGCATCCTGCCCGACTGATTCCTCGTGGACAAAATATGATAAGCCTTTTTTGTCAGTCAGTAGACTGGTGTGTGGGTGTGCGTCAATGTTTGCCACAAAGATGGGTTGCAACTCCCAATGAGTTTTGGTTACCCTAACTTCTACTTGTTGTTGCAGGATAACTACCTCTATGTAAGCAAAAATTGTGTGGTTTTCTTCCACAAGATCTTCCAGAAATCATGTTGAGCAGGTGGGCTTGGCCGAAGCTGGCTCTAGGAATTGGTTCTAGAGACACTGAGTGAGACATCATCCGCGGCCCAATTACTACACAGACTCCTTCACATAAAACCATCTTTGGAAGGTTTTCATATCACTTATTGTGAAGGGGAATGGCTTTGACAACAAAAATGAATTCAAAGGGAATTCAACTGCCAGTTAGAGCCAAATTAGGGTTGCAAACTCCCATGGCTCCGCCGTGGTGCGGTGTGCATTTTTCGGACTTTGGGGTGTGCAGTCTAGGTGTTTGGGCAATGTCAAGTCGGCCTTTGTGGCAGGTGCAGGAGATTGGAGGTCTTTTTTCCAATGGCAAAGCTTAGGGCTTATTCAGCCATAGTAAAGACTTTGGAGCAGATCGAAGGAGTTTTTCGCAAAATTGTTTGCAACCGAAGGATTTGTCTCAAGGACGGCGGTGTTCTGTCCAAAGACATCTCAAAAAGGTTTGGCAACCCAAAGTGTTGCCAACAAACGTTTACCAATGAATAGTTTTATTGCCAAACGGCTTAGCAACATTTAGGGAGCAAATTGTTTTAACACAGAGTGATTTGGCAACCGGTGTCTTTTCGCTGAAGATGGAAAATGCATCGCACCTGCTTCAAGGCATAGAGCCGTTGAAGCTTTCCCAACCAACCAAGCAACCTAGCACCCAGCCAACCAACCAACCAAGCAACCAGCCAACCAGCCAACCAAGCAACAAAGCAACCGAGCAACCAACCCACCAACCAACCAACCAACCAACCCAGCGAGCAAGCAAGCAAGCAAGGCAAGGCAAGGCAAGGCAAGGCAAGGCAAGCAAGCAAGCAAGCAACCAAGCAACCAAGCAACCAAGCAAACAAGCAAACAAGCAAACAAGCAAACAAGCCAGCCAACCAACCAACCAAGCAAGCAAGCAAGCAACCAACCAAGCAAGCAACCAACCAACCAACCAACCAAGCAACCTAGCACCCAACCAACCAACCAACCAACCAAGCAACCAACCAACCAACCAAGCAACCTAGCACCCAGCCAACCAACCAACCAACCAAGCATCAGTCAAGCCTCAAGATGTCTTGATGACGAGAATGAGTCTTATGTGTTTCTCGATGCTTGTACGGCTCAAGCACGTCATACGTGCCTCAACATTATCGCTTGTTGGGGGCTTTCTTTTCGATAAGGCTATCAAAGCAGAGAGGCTTTGTTTCTGGGGTTTAGATGTTTGATGCTGCGCCGGAACACAGCGCCACTCCAACGTAGCATACTTAGACTTTGCGCCCCACTGAGGACGCAAGCAGGACCTGTTGCGCCAGAGGTGCTCGCCACTGTAGCAGATGCGGAGCAAGAGGATCACTGCGCTGTTTACGCACCAGATCCTGCACATTCCCTGCACACAGGCGCTGCAGACAGGGTACCTTTAGCCTCCCAGGATGTTCTGACAAGACCAGCGGCCTTGCACTCTTTCTTTGCAGCACTTGAGCACTGGTCAACCTGCGAGGCAATTCTTTCCTGCCCTGCCGACACTTGCAGCTAGGAACGCCACGGCTGGAAAAAGTTTGCAAACTCTCACTGGGGCTTCGGGCCGGGTTTCCTACACTAACATCTTCTGGCCTGCGCTCTGTGCTTTGGAGGTGCTGCAAGTGCTCCAGGCTGCTGTGGACCGTTACCCACGGCTGTTTCGATTGCTGCCAGACAAGGCAGGATATCTCCAGTGTCGATCTTGGTCTTCCAGCCTCGCCAGCCAAATCCTTACCACAACGATTGCACAGCTGCACGCCGGGTCTCCTTGAAGCAGGCCTGTCCCGACACTGAGCAGCGCGGTGTGCTTTATCATAGCACAAGGTTGTTTTGCTGCGCGCAGGTCAGCCAAGCTAGAACCATCTACATGGACGGAGCTGCCACTCAGAGGCCGACGTCAGCAGGCGCAGCCTCCGAAACCAGCCCCTTGGCTTTGTAAGTCATTTTGACTTGTGGTTTCATTGCTGTAGTGCTGATGCAGTGGTTTGGCTTCGTCAAATCATGACTGTCACGGTCACCTACGAACTTAATGTCATGCTGACGTGCAGTTTCGCGTTGGCGCGCTAAGCCGTTGGCGTGCTAACATGCTGAGGTGTTGCCAAACGAACATGTACATGGTGTTCTGCTGCCATTGTTGACATGTTCTTTGCACGTTTGTCATGCAAATGCTGTGTAGACACACTGACATGTTGTCACCCTGATATATGTCTTCATGCGACATGTTGCCAGGCTGTAATGTTGACATGGGTCATGCTAACATGTGGGCATGTTGTCACGCTGAGATGCCGCGAAGTCGGGGCATGCTTTTGTAACAGGATGGGCTCCAAAGCAGGTTTCCTGGTTCTTGCTTGTTGCTGCGTTGTCGGGTTTGCACACGTGTGGGCACATGCGTGTTGTGACTCTCGCTCACATGCTTTTAAGCAGCAATTTCTGGCAAAGGCACGGCACTTGTTGGTGAACTTGCGATGTGCCGTTGCCTACTTGGCGGGTTCATGCCCAGCTGTTGGGCATCTTTTGGCATTATTTGTGGTTTTTCTTCGATGTGCAGATTTTATGGAAACTGTGTCGGATGTGTGCGCGTATTTTTTTGCCGTGGGTTGGCTGCGGAGCGGGAAGTTGCGGATCACTTGTGAGCAGTCCTGTCTTTGGCCACGCCTGAGGTCATGGTAGATCTCGAGCCAACAGTTGTCGATGAGGTCCGCACTGGCACATACCGTCAGCTCTTCCACCCCGAGCAGCTCATCTCAGGAAAAGAAGATGCTGCCAATAACTTTGCACGCGGACATTACACCATCGGGAAGGAAATTGTGGACCTTGTCCTCGACAGGATCAGGAAGCTCGCGGACAACTGCACTGGTTTCTTCACATCAACTGCCGAAATTTAGGGGTTCCAAATTTTCTTGAGTACCCAAGTGCCCAACATACAAGACAGCCAACAAAAAGAATGGAACTGTTCGTTGCGATGGTCCTTTACATATTGAAGCGCGTTGCGACCAACAAACAGTTGGATCTTTATTGAAAACGTGTTCGATCAAACTAATCAATTCATAAAAAAAAAACGAGAAAACACACCATTCTGAGGTTTGCAAGGATTCTGCGTGTACAACGCTTGCGGTGGTGGCACTGGGTCTGGCCTTGGCTGTCTCATGCTCGAACGCCTGTCCGTGGATTATGGTAAGAAAAGCAAGATCTCCTTCACGGATTCTTTGTTTGTGCGCAGGACGTTTTTTTGTGTTATTGTTTTGGTACTTATAAAGTTTGTGCAAACTTCAAAAAATTGAATGTTTTGTGCCAACCAATCCAACATGCAAGGTTTGGTGCTGCCCACAAGTTGCGACAGCTGTCGTGGAACCATACAATACAGTGTGCCTGGGAATGCATCGTGCGGCATGGTGTTTTTTGTGTTTTTCGATGTTGCGCATTTGTTACTCGCTTTGTTACTTGCTTTGTTGTTTCCTTCGCTTGGTACGTGCTGCTCACATTTGTTTGAACACATCATCAGGTTGTGCGTCCACTCCCTGCTTGAGCACACGGATGTGACCATCATGTACGACAACGAGGCCCTCTACGACATTTGCCGCCGCAACTTGGACATCGAACGTCCAACCTACACCAATCTGAACAGGTTGATTGCCCAGATCATCTCCTCTTTGACCGTCTCTTGGCTTTGACAAGATGGAAGATGATTTGGCCCCTGAGCAAAGCAGGTGCCTTTTGGTGTGGGCAGATGGATCGAGATAGTCGATCAAGGAGGTTCGCAGGTTAGAAGTGTTTCAAGTGACCTGGGACGATTCCATGTTCTGGGTTTGATATTTGGTTCACACTCGTTGGCAGTTGCAGAAGCAGATCCGTCGAACTTGTGTTTTTGGTCCAAAGTCCTTAGTTCATCGATACAGAAGGACTTCACGTCGTCCTACACAGTTGAACGTGAGGCTTCACTGCGCTTTGACGGTGCTTTGAACGTGGACATCACGGAGTTCCAAACAAATTTAGTGCCCTACCCCAGGACCTGCCGGTGGATCATGAGAGAGGTACCTTAGACTCTTACTTAGACTGTTGGCCTTGTGTCGTCCTGTGTCACTTGATTGATGTCACTTGTTACAGAGTGTTTTCCCAGAAAGGTTTCTTGCTGTATCGGGAATCTCTTTTTGTTGTGATCAAGTGATCAACTCTCAACATCTCCAATAACTGTTCTGCTGCCACAGCTTTGCCATTCTATGCATGAGCCGCTTAGCCATGTCTGTCAAACGAAGTGTTTTTGTTTCTTGCATGTGACATCATGTGACCAAGGATCTGTTTGTTTCTTGTGGAATTGCTCATGTCATCCCCTTCAAGCAGGATCCACTTCATGTTGACCTCCTACGCCCCTGTGATCAGCGCGGAGAAGGCCTATCACGAGCAGCTCTCAGTGGCCGAGATCACCATGTCCGTCTTCGAACCTGCCTCGATGATGGTGAAGTGCGACCCACGCCATGGGACACTCGTAGAATCGGAAGCAGGACTATGGGTGGAGTCCATAGTCCAGGGTTTATGATGATTTATGGTATGGAATGAGGCTGGAATTCCATTTGTTTTAAAGAAATTGTGCAGTGCCCACCCTAAACGCTTCCAGGATTTTATGCAGTCGACTTCTGTTGGCCTGCAACACCTTTTTGTGTGGTTGGTAATTATGCAGTAATTATGAGTTGTATGAAGAGGCAGAAAGTGGTTTGTTTGACATGATCTTCACGTTTACACAAATGGAGGTTTCATGTGCCCAAACTGCAGCTTTGAACTTGGGGATGCGGTTGCATTCTGTTCGTCACTTTGCCGAGCAGCCGAGGAAATACATGGCCTGCTGCATGATGTACCGAGGAGAGCGGGTTGATGGCTTCAAGAAGTTGGAGACGCAATCGACCTTTTTGAAGCAAAATGAAGGTTCAATAGACAGTCCTTGAGAAGGATACAGGTAGTCTACCACTGGAAGACACTGCATAGAATGTTAGCGACGGAGGATGACCTGTTTGAATAGAGCTGAAGCATTGCCAAATCAAAGTGTGCGAATGCAGCATGAACTGATTTGGTGGTTCTAATTGAAATTCTCCACAAAGAACAGAGCAGATCGTCCCGATTTCACTCCAATTTTCAACTCTTTGTCGTACACTCCTGACCTTATTTTTGATGCTTCTCCGGTCACCAGATGTTTCTCCGGTAGCATGCAGGAGACGTGGTTCCAAAGGACGTGAACGCAGCAGTGGCCACCATCAAGACCAAGCGCACCATCCAGTTCGTTGACTGGTGCCTTGGAGAGTCAATCGAACGATCATCTACCGCTGTGGGTCAAAACGAAACACCGTGAAGAGGACGGTCGATGAACGCTCTGTCTGAGGACCGCTTATCAGTTATGTTGTAGAATGTTGTAGATGTTCACCATGTTTCACGGACGGCGTTGACCGTGAATCAACCCAGAGTTGATAGGAAGACCGTTTCGATGACCCTTTGCCAGCTACATCGATCTACCCGCTTTCGGTAAATGCCATGATCCAGAAAAGGTAGATGTGATTTCGATTCCCGGTTGTAATCAAGGATATCACGAGTTGCCAGCAAAATAGGCTTGGGGAGGTGAATCCAGCGCCACGCGTGGTTTTCGGTCGAATCATGGAGGGGTGGGATGCTGCATATGCTGCCATGGCTCATCCTCTGCTCACCGGCTGGGATCAGTTGGTGGTTTGTCGGCTTGAGGAGGGTTGGTTGAAAGCTGATGCTTGTCGATTCCTACCGTCAATTCCATCCATTGTCTCACTGTGTGGCCCTTATGTTGCGTGCAAAGTCCTGTCACATGCCCAGCCAAACGAAAAAGACACACACTGTAGGTTTCTCCCAGACTCGGAACATCAAGCGCGGTCAGGGTGGACAGGCTTTGTCACTTGTGACGGGTTGCTTATCGTTGCTTCCATGGACCAGGATCGTGACATGTTTGTTTGGATGACTTTCCTATGGGGTAGGTCCCAATCAGATCCCAGTACCCGTCAGCAACCTTAAATAGCCCCAAACACTAAGACCATGAAGATAACTAACAACACTAACGCCCTGAAGTAGCCTCAAACTCCTGTTGTTGCTTAATGCCCTGAAACAGATAGCTTCCAGGATGATTCCAGCAAGCCCCTCGGTTTTTCCTGTGAGTTGTTCACAGGCTCCATATTTATTCTATCCACCTTAAACGACTCTTGGATGACCTGAAGCACATTGGATGGCGAAGTCCGCGCCCTGCAGGTGCCCCACCGGCTTCAAGTGTGGCATCAACTACCAGCCACCCACTGTGGTGCCTGGAGGCGACCTGGCCAAGGTCATGCGCGCTTGCTGCATGATCTCCAACTCCACGGTGACTCGAATGGAATCCATCGCTGGGTGTGGTTCTGCTGGGTGGGTGGTACTTCTGGGTGCTGACGACTGGGGTGATACTGCTGGAGTCTTTGTCAAGAATAGATCTCAGGAGGATTTGTGGACCATAATGCATGTCATTTGGCTTTAAGGATGGAGATCTCGTTTTCCTCTAGAGTTCGCCTTGCTGTACCGCATGAACGACATTTGTTCTCCCCAGCATTCTGCAACCCCTTGCTCTAAATTCGTTACAAACCCCTTGAATGTCGTTCCTTGTCACATAACTTTCATTACTTTTCAGTTTGCCTAGGTGTAGAATCTCACATCTGCTAGTGATGAAGCTTGAAGCACCCCCAATGATTTTGTTTTGCATTCAACAAGATTTGGGAGAACTGGAGAAGACATCAACAAAGCATGCAGACGTTTTTTGTCATTTTTCAACAGAAACCCCGCTAGTCCTCATGATCCTTCATGGCTGCAAATCTTCACACCGTGTCATCAAAGGCCATCGCAGAGGTCTTCTCTCGCATCGACCACAAGTTTGACCTCATGCAACTTGCCACATGGGCAAGATGGGCCTCGTTGAGTATCCCATTTGCTCTGAGACTGTGAAGCCGCTAGAAGATCTTTCTTGGAACTATGCAGTTACTGCTGTTCTCATCTTGACATCAGTCATGTTGAAGCCCGTGGCCTCACATATAAATGAAGGCATGGCCCCAAATCAAGTGTCACTTCTTTCCAACACCCAAGAGAACTTCTGCTTGCTTGACAACTGCGCTGCACAGTGCACGACCGGTTGCTAAGCTAAGAAACATTAAGAAACGTCATCTTCTGATATTCGAAGTTTGTTAATATCTCTTAGCTGTGGTCCTTGAGGTTCAGTCATCAGATGTCAAATTGAACAACAACTCTGCAGGTATTCCAAGCGAGCCTTCGTGCACCACTACGTGGGCGAGGGCATGGAAGAGGGTGAGTTCTCTGAAGCCCGTGAGGATGGGATGCCCTCTCGAGGGCCGACCGATGAAGATGCCTGGGGATCAAAGAAACCACGGAAATACTTGGCTGTGAATCTCTTCACAGACGGAAGTTCTTTTCAAGATGTCGAAAAGCCAAAACCAATGGCTTGCTGAAGATTGACCAACAAAATAATCAACTGATTGAAATGGCCAGGGCCCTAATCTGCACATCTACCAAGTTTATTACGCCGACCTTTTTGGGGACTTCCTATCAGAACTTTGACAGGACTTGGCGGCATTGGAGAAGGATTACGAAGAAGTGGGCATCGAAACGGCGGAAGGCTCGCTTAAACCAAGGGTGATGAATTTGTGTTTCACGTTTGTTGGTTGACCGGATGTGTTTGGGATGTTTTTTGCGAAACATGTTCATGCATGAATCGCTTGGCTCATGAATTGGTGATTGGTTTCTCAGGTGAAGGTGAGGAGGAAGGATACTTGGATCGTCACTACCGGCTTTTTCCTATGTTCTTTTCGTTTTCATGGAACGGGTGCTGAGGAGGATTGTCCATTCTGCAGGAAAAATGGTTGCAAATCACACACACGCCCGGGGAAGGGAATGAGACCAGTTCACACGTGCGGGGAACGGAATGCCAAAGAATCCGTTTGGCAAAGCCAAAAAGGACAGGTTTGTGGCCATGGTGCTGAACCTGACCCTCAACTAAGGCTATGGCGATGAGTTCTGAGGCTCAGGCCAGCGGGGCCGGCTACATACGCCGCGCCGCTGTTGCTCAGGTGCAAACGCAGATGATTCGTTTGTTGGGTCACAATCCCAGCAATGGACTTCTGTGACCAGCTGAGCTGGGAATTTGGGAGGAAAAAGATGTCGCCCCGTCGCCCATCGACTTGGACCCGATGGGTAAGAGGTTTTACGGCAGGAGTCGCAACGAATCGATTCTATAAATGCTTTCCTCGGGTTTGATGTTCGATGTTTGATTGGTCTTTGTGGGGGGTTGGTGTATTTCGCTTCCAGCTGTTCACTATCAGAGACCAAGACCGGGTAAAACTCGCCATCCAATAACAATTGATTTACCCCTCCACACTTACCCTTGAGCCCCTCAGCAGGAGATGCTAATCGCGAGGCTTAGGCAGGCGTCTCCAACCAATCTATATCATCGCGTGCCATGTTTAAGGGAATGTCCAACACAAATCCCCACCCACAGCTTGAGATAGGCCATGTGGGATCAGATGTGATCAGGAATGTTGCGGTGGGGAGGGGCGACACAATTGTTCAAGAGGAGTGTTTGTTCGCGGAGCGCAGATCACCACACAAAATATCACCACAGCCAGTGATGTGACAAGTCTCAGGTGCAATCCTGTCACAAGTTCCACCCGCTACCAGCTTGGTCACATTGGCAGGGGCCCTGCAGACTGAGTGCACTAGGATTGTCGAGTGGTGTTTTCATGGATGAGGTGAGAATCACAGGAGCCCCAAGTCTTGGAGAGGTGGTGGGAAGACTTTCATCAGAAGGCTCCGTGTGAAGAAGAAATACACTATATAATACATCGTGTACGGAGCACCGGTGAACAAGTTCTGTCCAAATGGGCTTGTGACCCTGTAAGTCAGAAGGGCCAAGGGCTCGCCGTCAGTTTCATTCATAGTTCGTATAATGTTGGATGAGATTGCCAACAATGGGAACTCCTACATCCAAGAGACGTGTATAAGCATGAAAGAATTGAAGACGTCAGAACTTCAACCAATATATAGACGACTATACGATATATTGCTTGAACAAGACACGCAAGTTATGTTCATCATTCCCTACACTTCCCATACCACATGCGGTTGATTGAGTCATCAAGGTTCAAGCCCTCATCCCTCATACAAAAGATTGGAAACGACCTTTCTGTAAGTAGTAGTAGTAGTAGTAGTAGTAGTAGTAGTAGGAGCAGCAGCAGCAGCAGCTGCAGCAGCAGGAGGAAGTAGGAAGTAGGAAGTAGTAAGTAGTAAGTAGTAAGATTTAGTAAGTAGAAGTAGAAGCAGAAGCGATGGCGGAAGAGGAAGAAGATCCAGTCAGTCTCCAAATTTCTTCCAAAAACGTCTCGTGTTTCCCACACTTTCTGTCCACCGTGTGCCCGGCGATTCAGGTGCTCGCCGAATTCATGGACTGCGACGTGGGCAGCTCCGAGACTGCGGTGCGGTGGTGAGACGAGACTCACGTGGTGAGACACACGGTACCGGTGAACACGTGGGAAACAACGGGTGTAAAAGCGTGACTTGCTACGCAACTCGTAGATCATGAGGGAATGGATTTAGAGGAATCTCTATTTGGAGCTCATTCCCTTATTCCCTACGGGTCGCACCAGTCAGGATCCTGGCCATACTGTGCTTACTTTGATATGTATTCTGGTTTGTTCTTTTGCACATGGTCGTTGGTTTCAGAGCACTGACAGTCACTGGCACCCAGGCACCCAGAGATGTCTTTTAGATTGGGGTTCATATAAACCACCAACATTTGGGGATTGCGCCATCTACTCTCAATCCACTATATGCTTACTTGATACTTGTGCTCCCCTGCCATTTTAGTTTGGAGGGTTGAGGCTTAGGAAAACTGGTGGTTCAGAATTTGGTCTCCATTTACATTGGCCGGAGCACCACGTGAAGGCATTCATTGTGGGGTTCATGAGTAGAGCCGGTTAATCCAAGAGAATACCATGATCTGAGTGAGTCCTCTTGTCTTGAAGAAACTAATTACCATCTACAAAGCACTCAAGATGGACGAGACCGCCTATACGACTTCTCTTCTTCCGTATCCAGACTTATCCAGACTCTGAAGTGGCTTCTAGTCTTGTTCCGTATCCCCCCAGACCCCACCAGCCCAGTGCTGGCGTTGCAGTCTTGAAGCCTCGCCTGCGCCGTCTCACCAGCGCCCGCCAGGGTGGTCTCTGTCCTCGCTACGACTCCTTGCTCTCCTTCGGCCCCTTCGAGGTCTTCTCCCCAGACCGGGGGGGCATTTTTGCGCAAGAAGTTCAAGAAGAGTGCTTTCTGGTTTTCAGATCTTGGACCAGGAAGAGTGCTTTAATCATATATGGCACTCACTGCCAACGGTAGCAAAAAGAACTGTAAAATAACATACGGAGGATATTCAATGATACCATGAGATCTTGGATCCACCCCAAACTCCAGCCATACATGTGTAGGACGGTAGGTGATAGGTAATTTCCTTCTTCCAAGACATGGTCTTCCCCTTCCCCCCCAATCCATCCCACTTCCCACCACCACTCTTCGACCCTGTCGTTCTCCTCCGGTGCCGCCCGTGACCGAAACTGGGCCAGATGGGCGACGCGGAAGTGGAACACTTTGCGCGAGGGTCGCTGCGCTTGGAATTGCAGGCGCGGGTGGTCGAGCGGGTCGGTCGAGCGGCGCGGTCAGTCGAGTGGGTGCGTTGAGAGTGCTGCAGTGCTTGGGCTCAAAGGATCGGGAACGCTCGTCACGATGAGCTCGACGAGTGGCAGTTTGAAGACCCAAATCCTGTGTGCGCTTTGTGATTCCTTTGGATATCGTTCGTTGGTTGCGAATGAAAGATCAGCATCCCTGTCAGCCTGTGTTCGTTTGGTGGATGTTTGAATCTTCGGATGGCGAATGTGGCGGGACAGGAGAAGATATATAGCTCAGTTTGGGGCACAGCAGTAGTGCGCATGTTGTGCCACTGGATTTTTGTTGCCAAAGTTTTTGGCCGATTTGTATCAACCTAATAGCGACGGCCTCCAACCTTCTAGCGATGCACATGGGCTTCAGATTTCTTCCCACATCCTCGATTGAAGTGTGATGATCGCTGCAATCAAGAGGCATTTTCCTCTGGCGGTTCTTCTGCTTATGCGGCAGCCTCAGTGACCTCAGAAGTTAAATGGAAGAACGACTCTGTGATCCCTTTGCCGTGCCTCTAGAAAGAGATTGTTTCACCCAGGCAGAGTGGAACGAGAATCTAAAGTCAAGCGTCTCTCAATCGATTCCTTCCACCTTCCAGGAACCCTTTCTAGAGTGATGCTGCGATCCCCGGCGTTGTTTCTCAAGATGACCAAGATGACTCAGATTGACCCTATGCACTAACATGGACATGGACAACCCCCTGTTCGTAGAGTAAAATGATCTTCCAAAGGCCTATGTCCCACTTCCATGCTAGCCAGAGTGTAAGCCCTTCCACCCAAGCAGTTCTCCCTTTGGGGACACCTTTTTAGACGGCTCCAGACCTGGCTGCACGAGCTAAGGTGCTGGGCCGTGCATCTTTACCCTTGGCAGCGCTGTTGGATTGCACACCACAGGAACACGCGGCACCGAACGCGGGACATGTCAACTGCCCAGCTGATCTGTCAAACGGATCATTTCAAGATTGAAGAGTTTGTTGTGGGGTCACTGGAAGGCTTGCAGATTCATTTCATGGCCTCTTCGAACAATATGTGTTTCCATAGGGAGATGTCGACAAGCTCGGGCTGTGAGCCTCAGAAGGTGAAGTGTTCTATATCCTTCGGCACGCCGTTCCACAGAACCAAACCATCGTAGAAGGACATCCCCACCTGGCCATCAGCCAATTAACTTAGAATTAACATCAGTTAACTATTCCTGACATCTCTCGATATGTCTCGCATGCTCTCAATGCTCCGACCACTGATATTTTTTCCACAGTTTTTTCCGACTCCGACTCCGACTCCCCCCCAAAAAATCAAGCAACACTGGCTCGCACTCCCCCCAAAAAACTCAGGCAACACTCGCACTCCCCCTCGCTTCGCTTCATGACCTATACGGCCCCAGGATCCCAATCCCGTGGTGGCCGGCACCTTGTATTTCGCCTCGGAGGCCGCCCGGCGGGTTGGCCGTGCCGTTCTTCAGCCTTGGTGACGTAGGTGACCGGCTAACAGTACCGGTCGGAGGGTCCTCCGGTCCCAAGACCTGTAGTCGGTAAACAAGAACCTCACGATATTTTGGAGAAAGGGGCTTGATTGAGCATCATCATCCACTCTTACAGGGATGAGGATATACCCAAAAGGTGTATGGTCGTGCAGGGGCCTAAGAGCAGAAAAAAGAGTAAAATAGAGCTGATGAACGCTTCTGCGGATGTATCACATCATGTGAATAGTATTGTGTGTTTGATGGTTTTTATCGGGGCGGCGAGCTTCAAGATTTTGCCCCCGGGTTCTTTTGTTCCTTGGCCCAGCGAGGGCGGGTGCCTTCTCACACCGGTTGTGTGAACGCCGAATCTGCGGAGAGTGCAATTCACGGCTCCTGATGGGTCCAAAGAGCCCTGGTATGCCATGGTATCCCACGGTGTTAGTTAGAGTCTTACCGGGTGTTAGTTATAGTTATGGTGTGCCCACAAGAGTCTGAATCACCATGTTTTCCGCCTGGTTGGTTTGGTGTCCTAGTTCCCAGGAACTCCCTCGGTGTTCGCCCAGTTGCCAGGAAGACTCCCGGGTGCAGATCGCCGCGGTGAGATACAAGGCCACCTCCGCGGCGACACTGATCGAAAAAACACGAGCGAGGCGAGGCGAGAGGTGACCACATCGCAACATCCACACAGAGGATTGGAATGTGTCTTAATACATGCTATTACCGCCATTACTAATACTGACACTACTTGTAAGTGTAAGTCTGACATTGTTTAAACGGTCCTCTGAAAGAGTTAGTCTTGGACAAGTCTTTTGAAGACTTTGTTGGAAGTTTCTCAAGAGGGAAAAAAGAGCATGCTTCGGCTGTTTGGCTGGTCATGGGTGGAACAAAGAGCTCTCCTTCTCCGAGCCATGGATAACCTGTCACAACTTCATTATCCTGGAACACTTCTGACAACTTCACTGGTTGCCGTTGAAGGTAGGGGCCCTCCCACGCCCCGAGTCAATGAGTCATGGGAAGAATAACTACGCATCCCCATGTACTCGTGCAATGGTGCAATGGAGTTCTGATGTTTGTAAGGTTGAGAGTTGAGGATACACGTGCTTCTTTTTCACCCACTGTTCTCCACTGTCATTTGTCCTCACCATCCCAACCAGTGGCAAGGCGCGTTGGAGAAGAAGTATCATCCAGGACTTGGAGAGCTACACCATTCGACGCGGCTTGTCCAGTGCTCAGAAGATGACCGACTGACCGGATGGCGAGAACTGCCAGGGGGAGATGATGTGCAGATGTTGCTCTTATTTGGGCTTGTATTTTATATAATAGGGAAACCACCCACCAATCTTGTTTGGTGGAGTATCGCAGCATTGTTGAGGTGGTGGAAAGATGACCCATCTCAAAGAATTTTGTAAACACAGGGGAAAGGCTTATGATTTCTTCATCCAAGTTCCCCAAAATCTGGCGTTCCAACCAGACAGACGCTTCCCAAAGGGCCAAAGAGAAGGAGGTTCCCCCGTTTGGTCGTCGACTCCGCGAGGTCGCCGCTGAGCCTGGCGGCCGCACAACCAGGCGACCGAGAGGGGGGTGGAATGTGGGTTCACGTTGGAGGTGAAATTCCCAGTTTTCTCAGAAGTTGTCTTCAAGTAGAGAGGATGTGGTCCATCTCTTATTGTCGTGTTCCTTCAGCTGCATAGATTTTCATGTGAGGGTGAGGGAGACTCGTCCCGTGATGCCAGCTAGTGCCTCCTTCATTGTGGAAATGGAAAATGCCTCCTCCCAAGCCATCGATGAAAATCATGCTTTTTTACCAATTTTCCGGCCGTGACTTGTTCATGACTTGCTCAGCTGATAGGGTGTGGTTAGATTGTTTCTGATGTGTCTCTTTTCAACTGCGCCTATGGAGCAGTTGATGTGTTCTAGATTGGTATGGAGATGTGTGGAGCAGTTCCCACCGAAAGCCCCGAAGCCCAGATGTTCGACTTATCTCGATGTGCCCGCTCGACTTGGACGGAGCGAAAACGAGCTAAACGCTTAGATGGCTAGCTAAGTGTGGAGGAAGAACCCCAGAGCAACGGATGTGGTACCCTGAAGTGGTTCGCTCTTGACCTGGCAGAGATCATGATGGATCAGCTTCTTTGGCCTTGTGATGCCGCCGTCTTTGGCTCAGTCCGCCTACCTTCCGCAGCTGGAGAGTTGTGACTTTGGCCGAGATAAGTTTGATATCCAGTCCAAATCAATTTAGGAACCCGGCCCAGAGAAAAGTGATGAAACGTGTACAACGCCTCGAAGGCTAAAACATCCGCAAGTGACCAGGGCGATGTTTGACCAATCAGTTGAGTGGGTGTGTTTTCATGTGTTCTTTTTTCTGTAGCCCATGCCATACCCATCCAAGTAAGTCCGACCCTTCCTTCGATCTTACTTATGACTCGCCTGCTCTTCGCTGCCCTTGCTGCGCTGGCCGTGCTGGCCGGCTTGAGCGTGGGCCTGCTCCGCTCCGGGGAGAAGTGGTGCTTCGCCAACCCCGACAGCATCAACGGGCCATTTGTGAACTTGGCCGCAAACATACAAATGCAATGAAACAGAGCACGGATCACCCTGTTGAAGTTCTCAAGATGACATCATAAACCCTTTTGGGGAGGGCATATAACAGAAGCTCGCGATCCTCCGGTTTGTGCAGGTCCGAACCGGTACACCCGCTACTCCAGAATAAACACCTTAAGAAGGATGTAGCTGAACACCTCAATGCAATTCATACAATGATTCAGTGTCGTTCGCCGACGTACTGCAGCCCTTGACTTGGAGGTGGCCTTCTGGCACCTGAAGTTCCTGAGCCTTGACTTGGCTTACACCACGTCCATCACGCTCCGCGAGCCCGGCTGGCGCTGTACGACCCTGGCGCTTTCCAGCGCGAAGTCTGTCGGTGGAACGGAAGGCCTGGTGGGGCCGGCACGGTGCCAGTCCTTGCTGCCGATCACGACGCTAAACGGATGGATCTGGATGTGGTTTGGGATGGATTTTGGGTGATTTGGTGGATGGATTTTTGTTGGGGAATGAGCTGGATGTGGGGATGATGTGGGGATGGTAGGGTGGTCGAATCAAAAGTTTTGCAAGCTTTTTGGGAGAACAGTGGGTCAAGGTGAGGAGTGGCTGGTGAGCGGTTCATGTCGAATGTCTGAGAATGTCTTCCGACGATGGTCGGATGGTGCCACAGAATGTCGGCCTCCCCTCCTTTACGTGAGACGTGCTTGACGTGCTTCTCAGTGTATGGTAAGAAGTTAGAAGTTGAAACCATGCACTGAAGCGGGTAGGGCCTCTATCAGGACTTCATCAATTGAGACTTCTAGGCTCAGATTCCTATGATTCACAAGGACCTCCCTCTCTGCCCCTTATCGCCGAGCCTCGCAACCTCAGGAAGCACTTCTACTGGAACAACCTGACGATCCACTCCGAGATGTCCGAAATCTCGGAGAACTGCACCTCCTGCAGCTATTGGGATCTGCCCACCGGTGGACCCTGGCCCCGGATCTCCTGTGACCAGATGACGCCCTCCCGGTCGGCGCCAGCGCCGGCGCGAGAGCACGCGCATGGTCGACCCCGCGGCGTCGGGCTGCTGGGGGTCGCGGGGGTTTGGTTCGTTTGAGGCGCAGCGGAGATGGATGGAGGTTCCACCGCGGATGGATGGAGGAACGTAAAAAAAAAAGGCCCAGCGCGCGGCTGAGGAGCAAGGAATCTGTGGTTTTTTGTTGCTGGTTCTTGTGCAGCGGTTGGTTTCGGTATTTTGGCCTCACCCTAGGAGACAGGGGAGACAGACTGGGAGACGGGTTTGTTTGGACGGAGTTGATGAGCAGCCCTCCAGTGAAACGGGGATCTTTGGGGATGGGAGGCTCTTCCACTCTGAGAAGAGGGTCACCCCAGTGGTCACCCCCCTAGAACAATTGCACCGGAAGTTGCCCAATGAACCCGAAAAATGAGAGGAAATGTCATGGGTAAATGTCAAGACGGAACTCCCAACAAAGATCATCGTTCGGTTTGGACTCCTTGGACACCCGGCCTATTCTTTTCACTCAAGCCCAGCGGCCCCCATTTGACGGACCTGAAGGTGACCTACTACGGACCCCAAGCAAGGGATCTAAAGGACCTACACTCTCCCTGAAATTCTGGAAGTGGCCATGCATGGCCATGCATGGCCATTGGTCCCTTTCGTTGCGGATGACCAGGAAATCAGATCCATCCGAACACATCCGAACACATCCGAAGACCAGAATACATCCGGTGGTGCCATCCGCGGAAACCCTTATACACTTTTTCGGAAAGTGTGTGACCGAAGTCTCTTAGCTTGGAGGCCATCGCAAGTAGGGTGGAGGCCATTGCTAGTAGAAACAACGAAAAAGACAAGAACGAAAGGTCGAACAAAGTTTGCTATCAGATTGGTTGAAGCCATTGCCACTGGTGTCACCGGTGTCAGGTGCCGCTCATCCAGCGGCACCCGGCTTGATGGATGCGGCCAAGGGGCTCATCGTGGGCGAGCCTGGTTGAGGGAATCGGTCAGAGGCAGAGGTGAAAATCATGGCATTTGGCAAGGAGGCTTTGAACTATGGTCCATAAATGCTGTTGACCCTAGACTAGGTACTACAGAGAGTTGTTAAGACCAACCCTTTGGTGCATTTGCTGCATGAAGTGGTGGGTTTGGCTTGATATGGCTTGATTTGGCTTGGACGGTCAGCTCGATCATTGGGCTGAAGTGGTTGGAGCGGTTCAGTTCATGCCATGTGCTTCTCGAGTTGGTGATGGTTCCATCTGCAACCAGCCCAGGCAGAGGAACACAGTCAACCAACAGGCGCCCTGTTCTATCATCCTGTTTTCAGACATGTGAATAGCCCCAAAGATGATTCACGTCCAACTCCCAATTGAGCCTCTTTTTGTCTATGTAGATATGGGGGATGCTGTGGAATCCCAAGATGATCAAAGGCGGGCAGCTCCTTTCAAGCTCTGTTTCCTGAGGTGCAGATCTTCAACGTCACGTCCTTGGCCGAAGCCTCAGCCCGTTCGGTCCGGGTGTTCGTTCTCGACGAACCTGAAGTCACGTCGAGCTTTTTAAGGATTGCTTTCCTCAAAAAAGGAGAAATACTTACTGTACGTATCACATTCCCCTGATAGTCTACAAGTGAAATCTATAGGTCTGAAAAATAAACCATTGGGATCTGTGATCCTTTCCACGGAGACCGACAAAAGCCACAAAGTTGTAACAGATCAGTATATATGCCCAACAAGAGCAGAGCTTTGCAGAGCTTTGCCGCGCGAGTGGTTTTTTCGCCAGGTCCCTTCGCAAGCTTCGCAACATTCCGATGCCCTGCGGCCTTACGTGACCTACGAGGCGACAACGGAGCCGCCCTTCGACACCACGGAAAGCGCTTCGGTTCGTCGGCAGAAACCGGTCGGTCGGTGTGTTGATGTGGCCATGTGCATGGGTATTGATAAAACAATGGTGAGGGGAAGGAAGGCTTTCGGGAGTAACTCTTACAGGAACTAATAGGAACTTTAAGGACAATCCGAGTGTGGTGGAAATAGCCCTTATCGAAACGGCCATGTTTGGTAAGTCTTAAGAGAAATAAACGGACTGTAGATGGACATAACGTGTTTTTAAGGGCTGGATAGGCGCCATAAAATCACGCGCCAATATCACTTTGCCATTGAGAGGCCCGACCAAGGAGAATAGGAGAAGCGGATCTTGTCACCCCGGTGCTAGTGCAGGGTGCCTACCAAGACAAAGACACATGGGATGTACCTTCCCCAATCTGAGAAACAACAATGGCAGCAAAGAAGGAGCGACCAACGTGATGTTTTCACATCGATCTTGCGACCCTTTGCTATCCTTTGCCACTTGCATGTCTCTTCTTGCGACTTACACTCCCTGGAACTAAAATGGAAGGTGGATGGTATGGCCTGTTGGATCATCATGTTCGTCTACCAACAGGGGATGAACTCCACTTCCACCTTAGTTCCAGGGAGTGTCTTCTCTTCTTCCCCTTCTGTCACCGTCATCAGACCGTCTGACCGACCGTCTGACCGACCGTCTGACCGTCTGACCGACCGTCTGACCGACCCGGCCAGGTCGTGGGCCAGAAAGCGCATTTCACGTCCACCGGACACGGTGCCTTCTTCGAATTCCAGGACTGACGCCCGTGTCGTGTCGTTGAGGACCTCCCTCGTCATGTCGATTGACATGATCGGGACCGGTCTGGGTGGGATATGGTGGGAGGGCAGGACGGCATGGCAGGACGGTTGGCAACCAACTGCTGATAATGGCTCGTACTTGCAAAGGAATGCGCTTATATAGACTCATGCAGCTTTAGGACAACTTCTTGTTGTTTGTGTGATGGGATTGCTACCCAGTCTTTTCATCTCTAATGATTCTCCATTTTGTTGGAACCTTCTCAGGTTTTCGCCATGCCTGGCTTGGCCAGGCTCGGGCCACCAAGCCCCCAGAAAGGACGTTCCATCATGTTCCATCCCACCATTCAATCTCAGCAAAGGATCCTTCGGGCACCGCGACAGAGATGCGCCACTTGAAGTGCCATGGTGACACAGGATTCAGTAATGCCTCCCCTTATTGATCAAGCCGCGAGGGGGGGGGGCTTGATGAATCCGTTGTCCACATGAAGTGCGTCGAGTAGTGCGTCGAAACGAACCCGCGAAGAAAATCTTTGACTGGAATGCTGAATGGTGTGATTTCGCTGCGCCACTCCGAACGCCACTCCAGGACATCAACCGCATGGTGGTGCGGGTAGATCGGGACTTTTGCAGGCCGAGCCGCATGCAGTCATCTGATTGTAGTCAGCAGCAGGTTGTTTGACTGCGATCATCCAATGTCGGTTTGGACGAGAATGCAATGCTACAATGTTTCACAGGACATGCAGGGTACACGCCCAGAATCCTCCTCACGCCCCTGTATCCGCCTGTACCCCACGTGTTCAACATCAACAGCGAGAATTTTAGACAACCAAGTCACTGGTCAACCATGAATTTCTTCCAACTTGTGATTTAAAGAAGCGGATGCGTGAAAATAGCTAAAGAACAACGACGAAGCACAGCAGCTTTTGAAGGGTTTCAGCTAAAAAAATAAAACAACCATATCACGGCTCGGGAGCCAGCCTTTTTGGTTCTTCCTTCCGAGCTCTCTCCGCGAGCTCCTCCGAGCTCGGGGGTGCTCCCGCTTGCGGAGCCCCCCCCTACGTCTTAGGTGGGCGGAGAACGGCGGCGGTCTGCACGTCGTGGTCTTCGACGCCGCCGTGCCACCGGCCGGCGCCTCGGAGGCGCGGTGGGCGTCGGGCGTCGGTCGGCGTCGAGGTCGGAGAGGCGGCTCGGGGAGGGGGAACAAGGGGAGGTGGCGAAAGCGACTTGGGGCAGTGGAATGGATGTCAAATGTAGACTTTTTGGGATAAAGTAAAAAGATCGAGAACCCTCCCCATAATATGAAGAGAGCTTCTACAAGTCAAATCCGCTGACCCTGGTGGGTTGATTCTGTTCATGTTGGGTGGTCAACCACAGTTTTGCAGGTTTGACCCAGAGACACTTGGCGACTTTGGGGGGGGTCACAGTCATGGACCTGTTTCCTGAAATGGAAATTGGTTTAGGATGGGGTCGATTGCCTAGGGCCTAGTCCACGTTTGTTAGGGAGTTTGGATACAATGACTGTGAGGGTTCCAGTCAACCTGTTGATGTTCAGATCTCCCGTTGTGGGCATTCGGCCTGCTCCCAATTTTGGGGCAGGGTTGAGCGGAGAGGGTCTTCGGGCCGGCCCCAGGGCACTATTACTTTTCGCGTGTTTCAAGGCAAATGCTTCGACTTGGAGGTTTTCGGTAGTCATGCTCTGAATTAATATTTAAAGGATTGGTCACGCTATGTCACGCTGGTTGTTCTCGCAGAATTTGGGTGACACTCGCCCTCTACAACCAATAGTTTGGTCGGTTCAGGTCAGTAGACATCTCCGGTCTCCGCCCCATTTTCACTGAGAGCTCAGAAAAGCACCAATCGCCTGAAGTCACCAAGCTTCTCACACAGATCCCTGACTACCCACATGTGCATCATGTGCCAACCATCATCCATCCTTTTGGCCAACCATCATGCCCGGGCACAGCATGCCCAGCCGCGACGCCAGGAGCAGATCGGCCTCCTGGGCGAAGTGCGGGTGCCGCTGTCGCAGCTCTTGACGTCGGTGTCCCTGGAGAGGGAACCGGGTGGAGAGGTGGAGCAGTTCCCAGCGGAACGGGCGGATCTTTTGGGGTAGATTTCCTGCATAAATACATTGAGGAGCGATGAAAAGTAAGGCTTCATGTCTGCTTTTTGGGGGAGATCTGATAACATGCTTATTGTTGACTTTGGAATAGGTGAAAAGCTTTTGTGTGGCCTTCAAAAGATGGAGGATCTGAAAATGTGGACCTGAACTGCGGAAGCTTCCTTTATTGGTTTCGGGACGAACCTGCCTGAGAACTGTTTTAGTGGTCCCCAAACCCAAACAGAGATTTTTCGTGGGGATCTACTTTTCTATCTATTTGGGGGTCTACCTACAAAATATGAGGCACGCCACCTGATTGGAGGATCACCAAAAGAGTGTGACTCATCCAGCCTGAAAGCCATGCCATGCCAATCCTACACCGTCATGCCGACATAAAGAAGACTGTGATGCTCCTTCCAGCGTG